TTTTTTGCTTATGTGGTGCTGAGGAATCAAACCCAGGGCCTCATGGATGCAAGGCAAGTACTCTACCACTGAGCCACCTTCCCAGCTTAACATCATCTTATACGGTCATATGCATATAGCTATTGAGCTATTCTGTCCATCTTCTAGGATTATCCTAGACATGTCCTATTTTTTTTTTTTTTTGTTCTTTTGCCAGTCGTAGGGCCTGAACTCTGGGCCTGGGTGCTGTCCCTTAGCTTTTCAACTCAAGGCTAGTTAGTACTCTACCACTTGAGCCACAGCACTACTTCTGGCTTTTTCTGCTTTTGTGGTGCTGAGGAAACGAACCCAGGGCCTCATGCATGCAAGGTAAGCACTCTACCACTGAGCCACCTTCCCAGCCCCTGTACTAATTATTATAAATGAGGGAAATAATGTTTTTTTTTTGGGGGGGGTCTGGCTTGCTAAACTTAATATGATTTTTTTCAAGTCTTTCTATATCCTACAAATGGGTCTGTATCATTCTTTCTGATGGAAACAGAATTCCATTGTATGTATGCATATATATATATATATATATATAATTTTTTTGATCCATTCATTTACTGAGGGGCATCTGGGTTGATTCCATAGCTTAGCTATGGTAAATAATGCTGCAATAAACATAGTTGTGCTGGTAGCTTTAGTATGGCCGTGTTTGTGGTCATTTGGGTAAATGCCCAGAAGTGGGATTGCTGGATCATAGGGAAGCTCTGTTGTTTAGTCTTTTGAGGAACCTTTTTCTTTTTGTGTTTTTTTCCCTCTTATGGTTTATCCCTTGTTGTTACTGAATTTGATTTTGGTACCCTGGGTATCATATATATGTTTCAAATTAGGGAAGGGAAGGGGAGCAACAAAATGGTGAGACAAAGGACAAAGGGTGAACCAAATGCAACAGTGATACTCACAAGACAGTATGTTGGAAATGAACTTGGGGGATGGGTGGGTAGGGAAAGTGGGAGAAAAATGAAAAATGAGTGGGTAACAAGTTGGACAAGAAATGTACTCACGGGCTGGGAATGTGGCTTGCCTAGCATGAAGCTCTGGGTTCCATGCCTCAGTACAACATAAACAGAAAAAGCTGGAAGTGGTGCTGTGGCTCAAGTAGTAGAGTACTAGCCTTGAGTACAGAGAGGCTTAGAGACAGTGCCCAGGCCCTGAGTTTAAGCCCCAGGACTGGCACAAAAGAAAGAAAGAAAGAAAGAAAGAAAGAAAGAAAGAAAGAAATGTACTCACTCCCTTACATATGTAACTGCAACCCCTGTACATCATCTTGACAAAATGTTTCTAAAAAAAGTAATGTAATTCCTGCCTATCCCGGGCCTAACACATCAGCCTTGCTCTCCAGTGTTCACCTACTGAAATGTGGGTAGATTATGCCTTGAAGAAACATGAATAAGAGAATCTGACAGAATCAAAAGACATTTTCGTTTTGGTTTTGAGACATAGGTACATTTGTATGATGAATAGAATTCGTGAGTGGAAAATGAGTGGGGTGAGTGCTGTTAGGGTGTAGTTAATGACAAAGGCCTCTGAGGAGGCTGCAAAGAGTGGGACCCAGAACACAAAGGTAAACTGGTTTGGACCTGCAGGCACACAAAATTCACCTACAGGGGGCTGGGAAGGTGGCTCCGTGGAAGAGTGCTTGCCTTGCATAGGCTCTGGGTTCGATTCCTCAGCACCACGTAAGCAGAACAAGCTGGAAGTGGCGCTATGGCTCAAGTGGTACAGCACTAAGCCATGAACTGAAGAGCTGAGGGACAGCACCCAGGCACAAAGTTCAAGCCCCACTACCGGAAAAAAAAAAAAAAATTCACCTACAGGAATATGAGGAAGAGGGAAGAGAGAAACGGTATTCCTGCAAATCTGAGACCTGAAAGAAGGATGAAATTAAGCCTCTCTGCATCTTCTGACCTATGGCAAGATGGGCATTGTTGTTATGCAATTGGGAAAGTTTCTGTCCAAAGAAGTTGTTATTTGCTTACCTTCACACGGTATGAAGTGTGGCTTGGCCTGTCACAGCTTGACAAAAAGCCACCTACCCCAGGATCCATAGCCTGGTGCCCAAGGTGGACTACAAGTCCCAAGGTACATTGCGAGGTGGAGCAGGAAGTGACTGAAGAGCCGACTTCCCATTGGTGATAGCGGCAACGACCTCGACAAGACAACAGCCCGTCGATGCTTTGGGCCACCTTGGAGTAAAAGTTTGAACATGAATCCCCAGACAGCCTCGGTATGGTACAAGCGGTTATCTTTGGTGTACGCGTTAGGCGCCTGGACGCTGCTAGGCTCTGTGTTTTATTTGGATCGTAAACAGGCGCCATCAGGTAAGGTTTTCGACACAACCAACCGCAAGTAGGTCCAGGCCTGAGAGTCTAAAAGTCACTTCCCGGTGCTTAAGCCCCAAGGTTACTCTAAAACGAGTTGAAGCGGTTACTTAAAGGACCTGGGCTCTTAAGAGATCCGCAAAGAACTGGACGCCAGTAACGTTGACATGCTGAACGGTACTTAGCAAAGACGCTGTCCTTACTCTCAGTTGGGAGAATGTGTGAAATTCAAGGTGGGATTTCTTTAACGAAGTGCTTGCTGCCCAGTACTCTTAGCCCTCATCTCCTATGAGGAGCAAACAATCTCAGGACTAGTTAAAGAGTGCTAAAACAGCCAAAGAGCATTAAAAGCGAATCAGCTGCTGGGTATAAGAGGAAATCTCTTAGCCTTTTAATTATATGCTGAAGTCGAAGAGAGCAGAACTGATTAATGTGGTTATTAGGGCCTGAGTGAAGAGTGGGGACAATGGAAAGTGCCTGCTAAATTATAGATCCCCCCCCCCGCCCATGGATGAAAGTATTCTAAAAGCAACCCTGGTACTAGTTGCACAACTCTAAACATAGTAAAAGCCCACTGATGTGTACCTTTTAAGGGGAATTGTATGTAAGTTACTATCTCCAGCTCTTATGTGAAATCTTGAAGCTTACACTTGTTCATGAAAAGTATAAGTAGTCTGAAAATAAACATTCCCAGCAATGAGTTCCATAGCAGTTATGGTGTTTTTTTTTTTTTTTTTTGGTCTTGGGGCTTGAACCCTGGGCTTGGGCGCTGTCCCTCAGCTCTTACAGCTCAAGGCAAGCACTCTACGGCTTGAGCCACAGCACACTTTCAGTTTTCTGGTCGTTAATTGGAGATAAGAGTCTTACGGATTTCCCTGTCCGGACTGGCTTTGAACTGTGATCCTCAGATCTCAGCCTCCTGAGTAGCTAGGATTATAGGCATGAGCCACCGGTAGCAGTCATATTTTTCCACTCCTTCCTCCTCTTCCTCCCTCCTCCTCCCTCTTCCTCTTCCTCCTTTTCTTCTTCCTCCTCCTCCCCCCTTCTCTCCCCCTCCCCTCCTTCAAGAACATGGTGATAGGCATCTATTGGCATGATTCTAGACTTAGTTTATTTTTATTTTATTTTTTAAATTTCTTTTTTAAAATTTTTATTTATTTTTTATTGTGAAAATACTGTACAGAGGAGTTACAATTACAGGGGCAAGATAATGAGTACATTTCTTATCAAGCATTGTAGTAGACTTAGTTTATTTCCAAGACTTTAATTATTGCTTTCACAGTTAATCACTCAAGTTTTTTTTTTTTTTTAAGGTAATGAAGTAGAGCAAAAGGATGATTCAACAAGTGAAATGCCTGTCTCAACAATTGAAAAGACTGAGCTCCTAAAAGGAATTTATGTGGAAACGATTGTCACATATAAAAAAGATTTTGTCCCAGTTACTGACAAAATCCTCAACTATTTCAAATCATGGACTGGTGGACCTCGTTAATAATTATGATTAACTGCTGAATTCTGAAAACAAAGACTTTGGTTCATTTAAGTTTGATAGATGATTTGTTTTTTGTTTGTGAAAAGTATCTATTTAACTTTGCTCCAAAATGTAATCAGTGGTAAATGCAGAGACTATTTCCTTGAAGGAAACTAAACATAGTAATTCAGAAGGTATTTTATATTTTACTTGTGTAAAAGGTCAAGGTGAAGTTCCACATTGAGCTTCTATAGGCTCATTTTTCAAAACTAGCTCATATGACTTCACATTTTTTTCATGTTGGTTATTAAAGCCTTAGGTTAAACTGAAATTCAGCAAAATTTCCCAGTTCATTTTGGGGCTTACAACAGCCCTTTGGGTACTGTTGGATAGTGGGTTTCTTATGAGTTAGAATAAAATTCATGAAGTAAATAGACTTTTTCTGTTCTTCTGGACCAGTACCTTCATACATCTTCAAGTATAGATTAAAGGCCAAATGTGGCTAGTGCTGATGCTGTTTTACATGCTGGGGACATAAAGTCAGCATGATGCAATCAATGTCACCTGTCCTATTTAGCTGCAAACAACAAACTGACACAGCCAGCTTAAATCACAGGGGTGTTTATCAAAATATGTATAGGAAGTTCAGAATTAAAACAGAGTTAAGTGGAGGTCTTCAGAGGATCTGGAACACGGCCACTCACAGAGCCTGTTTGAGCTAGATCCTGTTTCTTTCTGGCTACATATCAGTTTCTTTTTCTTCCCTAGAGTTAGGCCTGAAAGGAACTACTTTCTAGCGACAGTGCTGAATGCTGATCAGCTTCTCCCACCCATGTGTTTGGCTTTTACCCTGTGAGAGCCTCAGTTCAGCTTTTTAGCAGATCCCTGCTTTGTGGATTACTGATACTTCCTAAATTGTTAATATGTCCTTTCCCGATTGAATTTTGCTTTTTATTCATTGTTACTTAAGACTCTGTGAGGCAAAAATACCGTGTGACCTTCCATTGTAGTATTGGGAATTATGTAAGGGTCTTTTACTACTGGCGATGTTAGCTTTGACCACTTCATAAAGATAATTTTGCATTCAGTATTTAAAATTCAAGCATATTAGTTTGTAGATTTTTCTGAGTGAATGACAGCTCCTTGCTCTCTCCCTCTCTATTTCTCTCTCTCTTCCTTTCTCTCTTCTTTTACTTTATCTCTCTTCCTTACTTTCATTAGGATCCTTCTTACACTATTCAGAGCCCGTGGGCTTAAGCATCTTTTTTTTTTGTCCATCTTGGGGCTTGAACTCTGGGCCTGGGCGCTGTCCCGCAGCTCTTCAGCTCAAGGCTACTAGCTCTCTTACCACTTGAGCGCAGCACCACTTTCGGTTTTCTGGTGGTTAATTGGAGATAACAGTCTCTCGGACTTCCCTACTAGGGCTGGCTTTGAACTGTGCTCCTCAGATTTCAGCCTCTTGATTACAGGTGTGAGCCACTGGCGGCCGGCTTAAGCCATGTTTTAACTCAGCTGGAGTAACTGAGACTTTATTTTCATTTTTTGTTTAAGTGCACTGTGCTAAAGTTGGCTAATTTTAAAAAAAATCACTGATAATTTGTTAGGGTAGTAGTAGTATAGTCCTTTGTACCTTCTAAGTATCTTTATGTAGTATATTTAATTTTAATTTCCTAACAGTTTTATGGCAAGGCTAAGTATTAGTATCTGTATTACAGGAGGAATTAAGACTTCTAGAATCATGCACCTCTTTGCTCTGTGACATTTCTAAGACAAACGAGTAGTTTACATGGTTAAATGGCTATTTTAGCAGCTATTTTTGCACTTGGTATGATTAGCTGCAGAGACAAAAATGGCAAATTAAACTGGGAGGATCTGGGGGCAGAGAAGAGGAAAAGAGGAGAAATACAGAAAAAGAACTCCGGACAAAGGTGGGATTCGGTCTTGTGCGGAAGAGGAGAAATAAAACCCAGTGCAGAGATTAAGGTTGGTCAGGGCAGAGTGTCGTGTGCGCAGGCTGTGGAGAATTGGCTGGAGTTTTTCACACTCCCAAGGTTTGAGCCGAGCTTCTCCTTGGATGGGTCTGGCACATGCTTAGGGTCCAGGTGGGCGTGGCTGACGTGAGCAGGACCAATCAGTGGGTAGGCGTGCCGGACGTGGGCGGGACGCAGCAACCCGCTGGAAGAGGTCCTCCGGCGCGCTTCCGGATGTCACCCGCAGAGGGCGCCGTGGACGGAGACGCCTCGTGAGTCACGAAGCGGGACGAAGCGCGGCGCCGCCCCACTCGCCCCTAGCCGTCGCCATGAAGGCCGTGGTGCAGCGCGTCACCCGGGCCAGCGTCACAGGTCAGTCGGGCGGGGCCGGCCCCGGGAGGCGCCACCCCTGAGCCCCTGCGACCCGCGGGCCTGGCAGGGGGTTCCCGGCACGGGCCTGGGGCCCCCGCAGCCGCGCCGCACCGGGCGGGAGCGTGCCCGCACGTGGCTGGGTCCCCGCTTTGGGCCCGGCATGAGCGCGCCCTGTTCCATCACCATCTTCATCGCGTCATCGAATCCTCCCCACCCCCGTTTTTATCTGTCCTGAGTGCAGGCCACGGCCGTTCTCCAAGGAGCTGTTGCACACCACACGTGTGGAGCATTGGCGGCGCAGGGAACCCCTCCCTTCCGTCCTCCAGCCCCTCGTCCCCTGCCCCGTCGCCTTCGCCTCTCCCTGCATTTCCCAGTGTCTGGATGCAGCTTGACGCCCGGCAGACGCGGTACAGTGCTCGCACGCGAGCGGCTGCTTCCTGGCCGAGCTAGCAGCTGTGTACAAGCACGTTCAATCCTCCAGGGGAGGCCTGGCGGCCCCCGAGCCGGCCCGAGTGCCCTGCAGGTCATGGGTCAGAGCCAGAGAACTCAAGAGGTCACATCTCTCTTTTACACCAATTTCTGTGGACTCAAACCTCCCCACCTGTCGTCATCTCGTTCAGTTGGAACATCAGGGGGCCAGATGACTGATGTAGGTTATGTAGTCACTAAAGACTCAGGCCAAGCTTACTTAAAATTAAAAACTAACATTAAACTAGTTGACGTGTGTGTTAGTTGACGTGTGTGTTAGTTGACGTGTGTGTGTGTGTGTGTGTGTGTGTAGAGGTAGGTAGGTACTGAAGGCTTGAATTCAGAGCCTAGTTGCTATCCCTCAGCTTAAGGCTGGTACGTGTGTGTGTGTGCGTGTGTGTGCGTGTGTGTAGAGGTAGGTAGGTACTGAAGGCTTGAATTCAGAGCCTAGTTGCTATCCCTCAGCTTA